CCAAACATCTGGGCAACCTGAGCTTCAACATCTGGAACAACATGAAGGACATGGTCTCCTACACTCCTCTGATTCTGGACCCAAACACTGCACATCCAAGACTCATCCTGTCTGAAGATCTGACCAGTGTGACAGAAGGAGATAAACAGCAGCTTCCTGATAATCCAGAGAGGTTTGAATGGTTGTGTGTTCTGGGTTCTGAAGGCTTCAACTCAGGGACTCACAGCTGGAATGTTGACGTTGGAGACAGTGGATACTGGAGGCTGGGTGTGTTAGAAGAGTCTGTTCAGAGGAAGGGAGACATACAGTATGGACTTTGGAGAATATGGTTCTATGAAGGTAAATACTCAGCATGGTCACCACCAACTGGCTCCACTGATCTCTCAGTGCAGAAGAAGCTCCAGAGGATCAGAGTGAATCTGGACTGTAACAGAGGAAAGTTGTCGTTCTCTGATCTTGATACTAAAACACACATACACACCTTCAATCACACTTTCACCCAGAAGATGTTTCCGTTCATTGACAGTTGGGATAAAGTGAAGATTTTACCAGTGAAGGTCTCTGTGACAGTAGAACAGAGCAGTTAAGAGGTAAAGAAGATTGTAATACTCCTATTGTTTTGGAGGTACAAAAACTAATCAATGAATCTAAGAGTAAAAACTATCCTTATGTAGCTCAGTGACATGTCTCTGGGTGGGTGCAAAATGATGAATTTCCCTCATGATCAAATAGAAATTTAAATCTGGGAACAAAATATATTTGTGAGTAATCAACTTAAAGTCTTGTGTTTATGCTGCCAGTCATTAAGTAGTTAAAAAACCTTTGGTTGAGGAGGAAACACTGATCCCCCAAAGTCACTGTAGTTTCTTGGTTGAACATAATTTTATTGGAAGTTGTTTAAATTAAATAACAGTGATGCAAACTGCGGCAATAATGCAAGTCTGCATGTCTGAACAGAGGTGTAGACGCCACGGTGTTGGACTTTAATAAGGTCATAATGTGTTTAAACGGTTGGTGTTACTGCTGCCTGCTAGCAACACATCTCTGATCGCTGCAACCAGTGACAACACGTCAGAAAAACGGTGGAATCAAAGTACAGCCAACCAGGAGAGTCTCAGAAGACGCCTACACTGACGTTACACATTGTCAGGAAACGTGAGAAACTAACACTGAAGCATTGAAACTACATATTTGTGTTGATGCCACGTGGCTGATTGGAACACAAACTGCAGGTAGGTGTGGATTCTATGAACAAACACAACTTGTTTCAGTCTGTGTGTAGTCGTGAAGTGAAGCTCGTCAAGCAGACAAGACGAGGATGAAATGTTCTGGAATAATCAGTACAAAGTTACACAGATGTAAAACAAGATCGTGACACTAAAACATACCTTCAGTCACACTTTCAGCCAGAGGATGTTTCTGGTCATTTACACAGCTCATCAGTAACCAAATCGTGTATTTCTATGTCGAAATTTGTGGCACTGTGCACCTTGCATATCAATATGAAAACAGAACATTACTGTTAGAATGTGGCTGCATTTTTAAAGGACTTTATTACACGGTGCAATGAAAATACACCTTTTATATGTACCTCTGTATGTCAAGCAATGGAGGTTTTCTGTACTCCTGCCTGTGCTTTCCTCCTTAAGTCTCCTTGATTGCCTGTCCCTCCCACTTCATCAAAGGATTGGCTTCACCGGCTTGTGCCTCCAACAGCTGGGTGAATCAAAGATGGCTCTCTCTTTCTCCCTCCTGGAAGGCTGGAGCCTTCAGGCATCTACCTTGGTTTGGTTTTGGGTTGAATATGTTAAGCTGAGCCTTGGTTTGCAGACTTTATCATTAGGTTTCCTTTGTTAAGTGTTTTCAATAAATTACTTGTTTATTTAAAAGCTGTTCCTGTGTCAGCCTCCCTTCTTTGTTATGCTCTTCAACAAGCTGGGCGTAACACTATAATAACAAAAGGCTTGACTTTACTTCAGCTGCCTGAACATAGTCGAGTATCTGGAAAAAAATCACAGTATTACAACATTCTGTGGTGGCATTCACACACTCGTGGCTCTGTCGAGTCACCAGAGTAATCCAGGGATGTGGTTAAAAACATTTGTCTTTATTCTGTTTACTGCTATGTGTTGAAACTTACAGACTTAGTTTTTTCATAACCTGATGGTGCTCAAGTGGAAATAAAAAGCAACAAATCCTTGTATTTCCAATCCCAAACCAAATGATGTTTAAAATGGGCAGCAATTTAAACATAAGGTGAGCTGTTGAAACTGTTTGTATGAGCAGTTATATGTGAAGTGTCGAATATGTTGCTCATTGTTTAACTTGTATCCTCATTATAAAAGTCTGGTGGAGAACAGTAGGTGACTGACAGGTATAAAGTGTATAGAATACACTTTGGATAGTTAATTAGCTGGGTGTGATGCTGGTCTGTATGATCTATTGTTGCTGAGAAAAGCTTGATCATATCACCTGTATGTTCCTTCTCAGTTTGCGTCTCTTCCGATAACATACACACACTCCTACATGCACAAGCATGAATATATACTTAGAGCTGTTCATGCACCTACCACACACACTTGAAACACACACATACACACAAGAGGTTCCCATTTTGAAGGAAGGTATTTACAGTCATACACATTCTTGCACTGTAGGTTTGAACACCTACCATGTGGGGACCTCGTTATATGACTCCATACATGACCCTCTGTATAGGGGGACGTGAATTAAGATTATCCTCTGTACCATAGAGAGTGGTCAAAGGGGAGAGCAAATGAAAGTTACATTCACACTGTAGTGCAGTGAGGCTGTTCATACATGTTCCTATGTCCACATACATAACCATGGAAGTCAAGCTGTTAACACACCCACCAGATGTATTAAAAATGCACACACTCACATACACGAGGTCCCAATTTTGTGGTCATACATTCACACTCATACACACTTATATGCCATCCGGTGACCCACCTATGAGATTTCATACAGGACCGTCTGTATAAGGGAACACTCTTAGAGATATTCTTGTTATCCCAGACACTACTAAGACCTTCGTGCTAAAACGGCTTGCAGAGAGAGGGCATGAAACCTCTTTGATAAACTGCACTACTGCTGGGACCTGGTACAATGTTTAGGGGGAAATGATAAAACAGGGCGGCAGATAGGTGAAGGATTTTGCAAGCTCCAAAACCTCTGAGGCAACCTGAGAGAAATTATGTCCTTTTTGGTCAGACATGCTACTGCTCAGACTGGATGGACAGCTACCCGACCATAGTGGCCAGTCTCAGAGCTATGACAAAGGAGCAGGGGGCTAGTAATTTGCAGCACAAATTGAGAAAGACAGGTGAAAACGGTGCTTTTGAAACCATCAAAGCTTTGATGCAACAGACTCCAGTGTTAGTTTTGTCTGATTATACCAAACCCTTCAAGCTGTTCATCTCCTGCAGACAGGGTCATGCTTGTTGGGTGTTGACTCAAAAACAGATACAGGCACATATGCACAACCTAATGCATACAACTCAACAGCACTATTACAGGTTGAGTTTTCTTCAGTATAATCAGTCCCTAGCTGTAGCTTACTTCTTATATGAAAAAGCTTCATCTCTGACCAATCAGGAACCCTGTGGAAATGTTCTCTCACCACAAGCTGGTTAACCTTATTGTAAAAGGGAAAGTTGTACTGACTGCACAGTGACAACGTTACTATCGTTAACTCCTTGAGTATCCACATGTAACCACGAAGATATGTCAAGTCAACTATCCAGCAAATATCCTTCCTCTGCCTGGAAATGGAGAAGGTCATGAGTGTCTCATGGAAATTGAGCGATATTCAAAATGTAGAACTGATTTACAGGCCAGCACAATACCTAATGCAGAGAAGTTCACTTCACCACTGAGTCTCTAGTCGTCATTTAGGCAGGAAAGTGTGGCCAGCCTTGTTCAGACCTATGAGCTGACTTCACAGCTCAGACCAGGTTATGCACAAGGAGGGGGTCATTTGTTTGGCACAACCTAGAGAGCTAGGGGTTTTAAAATAGCAGATGGTTCATCAGTGCAGCACCATGACTAAACTAAAAAAAAAAAGAAGCTGACTTTGATAAAGTGTGGACCTCATAAAAGGGATCAGTCCCTTGCAGCTAAGGGAAACAATGCAGTACATCTGGCTACAAAAGAAGTCACTACTAATCATCCCATTGCTTTTTTAGATGAGAGTAAGGTAGAGTTAGAAGTTAAGCTTACAGAGAAGGATTTAATGCTCCATCACAAGCAGGTATCCACCACTGAACGCTAGACTTTGACGCATTAAAGGAGTGTCCTGAGTGAATGACCTCTGGCACAACCATGGAGGGAGTGTAATCACTAAATCAGTCTCCTCTCATTGTTACTACTTCTGGGCCCCAAAACTCCAACAGCAGGTAGACGCAGTACTGTCTATCTGTGAAACCTGTCGTGGGGCAGAGAGGGGCCGGCCTTGTGAGCGTGAGGAAACACTGGGCCACGTCATTGGTGGAAAGGACATAAAGGTGAGTGAACGTCAAAAAAAATAAAAATAAAAATAAAATAAAATATTTCCTTGTCTCAGTGTTCAATCCAATATATGTTTATGATCGCCACAATGTCATCTGAGCTCGTTACAGGAGCCTCCAGAACCAGCAGACTTACAGCAAACAATTATTTATATTTCATTCTGTTCAACCTGAAGCTGGATTCAGACTGTTGCAACACGCTGCTGCACATTACAGCTCACACATCCCAGATTTTATCATTGTTGTGGAAACAGACGCTGAAAAACAGGTGAGGCAGGAGGAGAGGTATGAGGAAGCTCCACCCCTCACCTGGCTCACCTCACACAAACCAGGAAACACTTTGTGATTATTAATCC